CATCCCCGGAAGGCAGCGCCCGCCGCAGCCTCCCTCTGCCCTCGCTCCCTACCTTCGATGGGGGGCGAGGGCGAACTGCAGAACTCCGGGAATTTCTCCCTCAACATGGCGCGGAGCTCTTTGTCCAGCTTGGGGTTGTCGAAGAGAGGGGCCAGATGTCTGTGTCGGAGGGGAGGAAGGGAAAGGGATGAGAAAGAGACGGGCCACAGTGCCCCGCCGCGTAGCTTCACCTCGGTGGCCGTGCAAGGGGATCTCCTCCCTTAGCTCAGGGCTTTGGTTTGTGTTACGGACCACAAGCTACAAGGTCCAGCCTTCCTTCCTGCAGCTCACCCAGGGTTCCCTCACTTTGCCACTGATGGGACTCGTGTCACCAGAAGACCCGTGGGAAGGGGAGAAGAGGTCCTACCTCCTGGGAGGGGAACCTGGCTGATGCAGGAGCTGGCTGCAAGCTGGAGCACCATGAGCGAGGCTGCTCCTCTCAGCTCGGGGACCAGAAAGGCCCGGGGACATTTCTACTCATCCGACGCGGCGTGCCGATGGCTTTCTTAACCCACCCATCCCCTTGCTTCAAGGAACAGCTCTCAGGACAAGCCTCAGCCCCATAAAGACACAATTATGGCTTCTTCCACGCTCCACACACAACACAAATGCCCTCCGCAGCTCTCGTAGAGCCTGGAGGTCGTTTCAGCTCACAGACCCAGGAAAACCGGCGCACCGCAGTCGTGTAAACGTAGGAAAATTCAGGGCTGTCTTACGCAAGGACTCGCTTCTCCACAATGTGGGTGAGAGAGTTGAACACGCCTTGCCGGACGTGAGCCTCCAGCGGTGGGTAGAAGTTGGGAATGATCTGAAAACAGGAGAACGACCACATGAGCATTATGAACCCTTCTGCCTACCGTCGGGCCTGCGGCAGCCAGCAGGACCCAGCCAGGACCAGCGACAGCCACGCGTCAGCTTCTTGGGTTGACCTCGACTCAAGCCCCACATCCCAGCTGCTCTTGGCCAAGAGGGGCAGCAGGAGAGCCCTCCGAGGGCAGCATCTCAGGGACAGGGCACAGAAGGGGGATCAGCCCATGCCTCCAGCTTTTCCAGCCCGGAGGGCCAGCGGTGCATCTCCCAGGGATGAGAAAAACCACACAGATGTTGCCTCGTGAGCTGCGAGAAGCCCTGGGGCTTGCCAGGGCCGTGCTCCAAGCAGCAGCGAATGCTGCAGGAGTGGGGGGAATATGAGCAGGGCACCCGAAACAACATTCAGCTCTGTCCACACACAGTCCTTTGCTTCTGGAAGGAGGCAGAGGACTCCTCCCGGAGATCTGGGTCATCCCGGGAACGTTCCACCCAGTTCCTCTGCCAGAAGCCAGCAGCTGCTTTTGGACTTGGGCAGCCCAGGAGCAACCAGAGTGTGCTGGGCACAAGGAACACTTCAGAAGCCTTTTTCCTACTAAGGCTCATCATTCGGGAAGGATTTATTTGCAGAGCTGGGAAGTCTTAGATGCTTTCCCACAGTGGCATTCTCATTAAGGAGCAATGCATGGGCCCAGCGCTCCGACCTCCAGGAACCGCCCAGGATTGACCAAAAGACCACAGGGATTCACCAAAGCCTCTGGTGGCTGGGTTGAAGAGGCAAATAATCCGGCACTGTGCCTGACTGTGCTCCCACCAGATCAGCCAGGGGAAAATCCCTCCTTCACTTCGCGTAGGTAAGGGGAGGTTAAGAGGGCTGCCAGCAGACACCCAGCTACTCTGCAGGCTGTTTCGCAATCAAGAGGCTCCGGGCAGAACAAACCAGATGATGCACTGGGGAAGGGGGGAAAAAAAACGGGGGAACAGCTTTTTTGTTTTGGTTTGGGTTTTGTTTGGTTTTTTCCTCTTTGGAGCGTGACCTCCGCAGAGCTGGCTGGGGGAAGCAGAGGGGGGAGCGGGTCTTTTCCTCTCA